AGGATCGTGGTGTGGTTCAGTCAGCCTGGGCTATACAATGAAACTTTCTTTAAAAAAAAAAAACCAAAAAACCAAAAAAACAAAACTTGAGTCTGAGTAAGAGGTTGAATATAGCCAGAGAAGCAGTCTAGGGCTCACTGAGACCACTGTGAGTTGGATGTCAAGGGTACAGGGAAGAACTATCAAAAGACTGAGAAGGATCAAGTATGTGGTTTTCCATTAAAAAAAAAAAATAGCCTCTTTTATTAATTTTTATTAATCTGTTCCTTTATTAATTTGTTCCTTTTTAAACTGAATTTTTGCATTTTTCATACAATATAATTTGATGTTATTTAGATCCCCTCCCCTATCCTAAGCTCCCTTTATTGCACCCGCCTCCCAACCAATTTAATATACTCAGTTGTTTCTTAAAAAATTTATTACGGGGCTGGAAAGATGGCACAGTGGTTAAGAGCACTGGCTACTCCTGTAGAGGACCCAGGTTCAATGCCCAGCACCCACATAGTGGCTAATAACCATCTGTAACTCTAGTTCCAGGGAATTTGACACCCTATTCTGACTTCCATGGGCATTGCATAACACGGGTGCACTTACACACATGCAGGCAATATATTCATACACATAAAAATACATATTAAAAAATTTTGCTACACTTTTTTCTGTTTGTGCGGTAATGGTTAGGCCATGTCACCCTTGTGGAGGCCAGAGGACACCTGTGGAAGTCAGTGATTCCTTCCTTTCACGTGTGGTTGCAGGGATCAAACTCAGATCATCAGACTTGTCAGCAAGTGCCTTTACCCACAGAGCCGTCTTGTTGACTTCAGCCTTCCCTTAATATTCCTATGGTACCTTTTAATTAATTCCATAATATCTATACAGCTCATATTTAGATTTCTCCAGTTGTTTCAAGGATCACTTTTATTTATATCTTACATTTAGGATCTAATCTATAAATAGTAGAGTCACATGTTGCATTTGATTATTTCGAACATTTTTAGTGACAGCATATTTTTATAGATTACGAACTGTCTCCTCTGCCTCCTTCCTTAACTTACTTCCTCTCTCACTGTCTCTGTCTTGAGATAGACACTGCCATGTAGCACAGGTTAGTGTCAAACGTGAGGTCCTCCTGTTTCAGCCTTTTTAAGTGCTGGAATTCCAGGGATGGAGCATCATGTTCACTCATGGTTACTTAATAACTGTAAACATTCAGAGATAAGGGGCTGGAGAGATGGCTCAGTGATTAAGAACACTTGACTGTTCTTGCAGAAGACCCGGGTTTGAATCCCAGCACCCACATGGCAGCTAACAACTGTCTGTAACTCCAGTTCCAGGGTATCCAACAGCCTCTTCTATCCTCTGAGGGCATTGCATGACACAGGTGCACTTACATGTAGGCAATACACAAGTACACATAAAATATTTTTTAAATATTCAGAAATACGCTTGTGGAAGGATCTTTCCACATTTCAAAAATTATTTCTTACAATTAAAATCATTGTAAATAATATGGTGGCATATGCCTGTAAATCCCAACTCTCAGGAGGTGGAGGCCGGAGGGTCAGATCAAGATCATCCTTGGCTACATAATGAGTTTGAGGCCAGCTCAGGTTAATGAGACTGTGTCTCAAAAAGAAAAATTGGAACTGGGCGTGGTCTTACATGCCTTTAATCCCAGCACTCCAAAGGCAGAGGCAGGTGAATCTGCATGTTCCAGGCCAGCTGGGGCTACAGTTATATTTTAAAGCTCTTGATAAGCATTTCTAAGTTGTTTGCCAGAAAGGAACAGTTTATTTTTACTTTTTGTATCTAAGAGATGTGTATATGTCTTTGTTTTCATTTTTTGAGACAGGGTATCCCTGTTGCCCTAGCTGGCCTGGAACTCCCTGTGTAGACCAGATTGGCCTCGAACTCACAAAGCTCCATCTGCCTCTACCTCCTGAGTGCTGGGATTAAAGGCAAGGGCTTAAGAGGTGAGTGTGTGTATGTATGTTTTTCTCATCTTAGTTTGGGTAGCACTGAATAATAGTAAAGGATTAAGAAAAACATTTTTTGAGACAAGGTGACATATAGGCCAGACTGGCTTTGAACTCACTGTGTAGCAGAAGCTGACTTTGGACTTCTGGTTCTTTAGCCTCCATCTCCCAAATGCTGGGATTGCAGGCATCCATGCTTGGATAATATTTTTTTTTGGTAATTTGGCAGGTTTTTTTTTTTTTAATTTCTTTACAAGTTTAAAGATACGGCCAGGCGTGGTGGTGCATGCCTTTAGTCCCAGCACTCGGAAGGCAGAGGCAGGTGGATCTCTGTGAGTTCAAGGCTAGTCTGGTCTACATAGTGAGTTCTAGGCCAGCTGGGGCTACAGGGAGACCCTGTCTCAAAAAGACCAAAAAAAATATGTTTCTATTTTTAGATTCCATGCTAACCATTTATATTTTGAATTCTTTTATGTGTACGAGTGTGTTGCCTGCATGTATGTGAGTGTACCTGTGCTGTGCAGTGCTGTGGAGGTCAGAAGAGAGCTTTGGATTCCCCTGGAAATGGAGTTAAGGATGGTTCGTAGCTACCATGTGGGTGCTGGGAATCGAACCTGGGTCCTCTGCAAGAGCAGTTAGTGTTCTTAACCACTGAGCCATCTCTCCAGCCCCCGAATTCTGCATCTTTTATGTAGACCAATTTTGCCTTTTTTTTTTTTTGGTTTTTCATACAGGATCTTAATATGTAGCCCTGGATGGCCTTGAACTTACAGAGGTCTATCTGCCTCTGTCATCTAAGTGCTTCTATGTGTTACTACACCTGGCCTTATATAGACAATTTTGTGTTGTATTTTTTGTTGACTATGGCATTAGCTTTTTATTTTTTGAGACAGGGTCATCCTCTAGCCCAAGCTGGCCTAGAACTCTCTATGTAGACCAGACTGGCCTCAATATCACAGAGATCCTCCTGCTTCTACCTTCGCAGTGCTGGGATTAAAGGCACATACCACCACACCTAGACTATGGTAGTAACTTAAAAAAATGTGTGTGTCTGTCTACATGCTTCTGAGTGCAGGTGCTAGTGGAGGCTAGGAGAGGGGTCAGATCCCCTGGAGCTGGACTTATGGGTAATTGGGAGCTGCCCAATGTGGGTGCTGGACTCTGAACCTGGGTCCTCTGCAAAACCAGCAAGAACTCTTTAACAGCAGAGCTCTCTCTCAAGTCCTAACTTTTATATTTTAATGTGTATGAGTGTATTGCCTGCATGCATGCAAGTGCACTTGTGTTGTGCAATTCCCACAGAGGACAGAAGAGGCCATCAAATTCCAGTTCCCTGGAACTGGAGTTACAGATGGTTATTAGTTGCCTGTGGGTGCTAGAATTTGAACCTGGTGGTCTTGCAAGAACAGCCTGTGTTCTTAACTGCTGAGCCATGTCTCCAGCCTCGCCTTAACTTTTTTTTAACACATAGGCTTCTTAAACTTTAGATTCTTTCTTCAGACAAGATCTCCCTGTAGCCCCAACTGTTCTGGAACTCACTAGGTAGACCAGGCTGGTCACAGAGATTTGCCTGCCTCTGTCTTCCAAGTGCTGGGATTAAAGGTATGTGCCACCACGCCCGGCCAACCTTAGATTCTTTGGTCCGGTGTAGTCTAAGGCTTTTTACTTAAATATTTTTGTGAAATTTGTCCATCTTATAGAAGTATTTTTGAGCATCCATGACCATCCAAAAATTTTATTTTGGGTGTTTTGCTTGCATGCATGTAAGGCACCCATGTTGTGCAATGCTTATGGAGGTGAGAAGAGGGTGTGGGAGCCCCTGGAACCGGAAGTTGTTAGCTCCATATGGGTGCTGGGAACTGAATCCTGGTCCTCTGCAAGAGCAGCCAGTGCTCTTAGCCACTAATCTCTCTCCCCAGCCCCAGTGTACTTTTTAAAAGACAAAAATTTGTATTTTTATTTTATGTGTATGAGTATTTGCCTGTTTATGTGTACCACACATATAGTGCCCAAGGAGGCCAATGGGGGTGTTGGATCCCCTGGAACTGGAGTTACAGACTGTTGTTGGCTGCCATGTGGGTGCTGGGAACTGGACCTGGGTCTTCTGCAGAAACAGCCAGTGCTCTTTAAAAAAAAATTATTTTATTGTGTATTGTCTGCATGTATGTAAGTGTACCCGTGTCGTGCAGTGCCTGTGGAGGTCAGAAGGCATTGGATCCCCTGGAACTGGAGTTACAGTTGTTACTTGCCATGTGGGTGCTGGGAATTAAACCTGGGTCCTCTGTAAAAGCAGTTTGTGTTTTTATCCACTGAACCATCTCTCCAGCCCCTGTGCATGCTTAATAGTTTATATCCTTGAGTATCCCTAAACATCCAGTGCTTAATAGATGTATTTTTGAATATTCCTATCAGTTTTCTTAATGATTTTTCTATCCTTGCTCAAAATACATTTGCTTTTCTGAGGTTAATTTTTTTAAAAAGTTTTATTTTGTGTGTATAAGTATATTGCCTACATGCATAGTAAATGCATCTATGTTGTTCAGTGTTCACAAAGGTCAGAAGAGGGCTCCAATTCCCTGGAACTGGAGTTATGTGGGTTCTGGGAGCCAAACCTGGATCCTAAGAGCAACCTGTGCTCTTAACCACTAAGCCATCTTCAGCCCCCCACCCCCAACTTTTTCTTTTTTTGAGACAGGGTCTTAATCATGTAGCTCTGGCTGTCCTGGAAGTCCCTATGAGGCTGCCCTCAAACTCCTAGAGATCCACCTGCCTATGCCTCCTGAGTGCTGGGGTTAAAGGTATATGTCACTACACCTGGCCTGTTTAGTTTTTGTATTATTTAATTTGGTATAATATTTTGACTTATGAACTTTTCAGGTACTTTCTAAATGCGTGAGGCTTGTTCACATTTCAAATTTGGCTAACAGGTAATTGGTATGTGTGGTTAAGTCATAGCAAATCTGGGTTGTTTGAACAGAATCTTACCCTATTGGGAGCATCACATGATTTCCTTTTACTGTGTAGTGTTCTGGGAGTGTCAGTGGAAGCTGCTCCTCTCTTAGAGGAAGAGAAGGAAGAGTTGGAAGAGAAGGAAGAAGAGTTGGAAGAGGAGAAAGAAGAGGTGGAAGAGGATGCTCCAGATGATAATGCACGCTCCCTTGGTGTTGAAGGTATGCTTGTGCCCTTTTTTCAGGATACAATAGATTCCTTTATGCCCCTTTCCGTGAGCATATAGAAGTCTAAATTTCTCTTTGTCATGTTATTCATAGCTCATCATCAAATTGAGAATCATTAAGAAATTGACTATTAATAAGATCTCTCACCTAATTTGGTGTTTGTGAATTTGTAGCTCTGGTAGATTTAATTTTCTGTGTTAATCAGATTTCCAAAGCTGTGACCAAATACCTGAGAAAATAAATGTAAAATTTTGGCTCACAATTTCAGAGATTTCAGTCCATGGACACTTACTTGGTCACTTTGGACCTGTGGCAAGGCAGAGTATCATGGTGGGGAAGCACATGGAACAAAGTTGCTTACCTTATGTTAGTTGGGAAATAAGAGAGAAGAAAGGGGTCCAGGGTTCCAATATCATCTTAAGATCATGCCTCTACCCCTAATAACCTGCTGGTGCCAGCCGGCCAAGATGGACAGTACCTGAAAGGGGGTGTGAGGATTGAAAGAAAAAACAACAGAGAAAAGATACTTGGGAGGACTATCAGTAGAGATTGCAGCCCTGGTTTATTTTAGCTCCGCCCTGTTATACAGTAGAACATCAGAGATAGCCACCGTTTGCTTAACTCAATTAGCTTCAACAGCTGTTTTTCCCACCTGTATCTGAGGGTCAAGGAGCGGTCAAATACTTGTTGTGAACTCCACCATATAAACACATTCCTCCTGACTTGGCAGATTAGGTACTGGTGTGCAAAACACAAACTCTAAACAAGCAAGCCTGCCACAGCTCAATGTACATAATGGATTAATAGCTCCCAACATCTCCCCCTATTTTTTATAACCCCAGATTATGCTATATCCAGGACAGAAGGACGGTGCCCGTCTTAGGTTGTCTTCTGCTAGAGCAAAGCCTTACCTGTCATCGGCTTCCATCAGCTACACCCTGTCTTAGGTTGACTTTCTCCCAGATGATCTTACCTGTCTTTGACTACCAGCCTCTGTTAGGGGAGGGAGCGTAATCTCATATCATGCACAGCAGCTTTGACTTGCCACAGGATTTCATAAATAACTTTACTGCCACCAGATGAAAACAAAGACATAGGAGGAAAAGCATGCTAAGTCCCACTAAACCATACACAATGGAAGTGATAGAGGACCATGATGGTAAGGTGGCTCTCAACCTGTTTAGAATATCTGCCACTGCTTACAGGGTGGAAATGCTTGTGGAGAAATTTTTCTCTAGTATCTCTTGGCAATAACACTTTGACATTGGTACAGTATCCACCTCGTCCCACAAGCACACAGTCATCTACTTGTACACACCTGGACTTATTTTTAACTAAACAAATAGGCAGCCCGCTTCCCGATCCCAAATAATAAAAATTTGTCACCACTTGCATCATCAGGTGTTTTGAAGCAGGCTGAGCAATTAACCAAGAGTCATTCACAGTCACTACTATCTCTTTTTCCTTCCATATCTCGGGGTGCAATATTGTGGATCAGGAACATAAGTCCAGTATAACTCAGCCAAGATCACTTGTGGGAACATCATCAGCCATGTTTGTCGCCTCATCATTCTTTTCCACTTCTCTTTCTGGCACTCGTCCGGCAAACCTCACCAGCCTTTCCGGCAGCCACCTGGCTCCATCTGCGTCCTACGGAAAAATACAAACATGCCCTCTTCCCCATATCAATACAGGGTCGGGGCCATTCCATTGTCCAGTTGAAGGATCCTTCCCTTGCTCCTCGGGCCCAAAGCATATTCTTTAACATATGTACAAAGAACAAGCGACTGTTTCCTTGCCTCATCTTCTCCCAAGATAAATACTCACCACTCCCCAATCTTACCGAGTGCACGCACTTAATTTCTCCAGTGGTGTCCTTCACTTTTTCCCCTACTTTTCAGGTCCCTGTTCCAGGCGCCACTTGCCAGTGCCAGCCAGCCAAGACAAGACGGACAGTACCTGAAAGGGGGAGTGAGGATTGAAAGAAAAAACAACAGACAGAGAAAAGATACTTGGGAGGACTGTCAGTAGGGACTGCAGCCCCGGTTTACTTTAGCTCAGCCTTTTTATACAGTAGAACATCATAGCTAGCCACCGTTTGCTTAACTCAATTAGCTTCAACAGCTGTTTTTCCCACCTGTATCTGAGGGTCAAGGAGCGGTCAAATACTTGTTGTGAACGCCACCATATAAACACATTCTTCCTGACTTGGCAGATTGGGTACTGGTGTGCAAAACACAAACTCAAAGTAAACAAGCCTGCCACAGCTCAATGTACATAATGGATTAATAGCTCCCAGAATAACCTAACTTTGTTTCACTAGATCCCACCATCAGGTGTTTTGGCTCACTTCTGTAATCTCAGCAGTCAGGAATTGAGGCAGGAGGATTGCCATGTGTTTGAAGCCAGCCTGGGCTATATAACGAGCTCCGGTTCAGCCCATGTTGCATAATAAGAACCTGTTTGAAAAATCAAAAGATTCAACTACCTCATAATAACACCACATACTAGTGACTAGGACTCTGGGAAACATGAAAGACCCAAAACAGTAAATTGGGCATGGTGATGCATGCCTGAAATCTAGGACTCAGGGAGTCTGAGACAGGAAGATCATAAGTTCAGGGCCAGCCTGTGCTATATAGTAAGAGCTCAGAACAAACTTTCAAACCAACCAAATCAGACCAACTCTGATCAGCTCCCTTTCCACATTTTGTTTATTTTCTCTTCATTTATTTTTCAAGTATTTTTGGATGTGGTTTTTGGTATATCTGCAGATTCACATAATCTACCACATTAAGTGCTTTTTAAGACTTTATTGTACCCAAGTTTTTATTTTTGTTGTATGTATATGAGTGTTTTACCTGCTTATATGTAAGTGCACCCATGCATGCAATGCCTCTGGCCAGAAAAGGATGTTGGATCCAATGGAAATGGAGTTATGGTTGGTTGTTAGCCGCAATGTGGGTCCTGGGTACAGAACCCAGGTCCTCTGCAGGAACAGCCACTGCTCCTAACCACTAAGCCATCTCTCTAGCTCCTGTAAGTTTTTGGAAACTTCATTATATATTCCCCTTAAAAAAATTACATTTGCTGGGCATGGTGGCGCACGCCTTTAATCCCAGCACTTGGGAGGCAGAGGCAGGCGGATCTCTGTGAGTTTGAGGCCAGCCTGGTCTCCATAGTGAATCCAGGACAGCTGGGGCTACAAGGAGACCCTGTCTCAAAAAGACCAAA